ATTAAAGAACATTTTATGCGTGGTCTTCTTCCTGTTTGTGACTTACCAAAGGATTATATCATCTCCTGGATAAAGAAATCATGTACGATTTTCAATTTAAATATGTTATTTAATTAATTTCATAGTACTTAAATAACGTAATTAATTTAAACTTTTAATAAAGTTTAATCAGCGCCACTCATTTAGTTGTTCCAGATTTTTCATCTAGTTTCTGACAGCACCAGCAAATTAGTTTTCATTACAAATACGACGTTTCATCTCAGTGTGAAGCGAAACGCGTTGGTTCTAAACGCATCGAAACCTGTGTGGTTAATGCCCCTAATCATGAATCGACAACGCATCTGTAATAATCAGCCTTACCCTGGAAGATTTATTTTGTGATTGAGGGATTCTGAATGCGTTTCATTGGTTATATATGATCATTATGGACATTAATCAATGAGTAATTGCGTATTCAGAAATTGGACTGTTTGTTACTATGTAGATTTGGTCATGGTTGAGTAAAGGTGTAGCTATCGATACAGCCATAAATGTGTAAAGTGCATCCTATAATCAGGTATATACTCTATGGATATATTGTCTATATAATTTGGCATATGTCTATAAATGTTTCAGTCGTATAGTAAAAGGTTAACTACTTATCTTTTAATACACATAAATACATAAAAGCTTGGTTAATTCCAAATCTACAAGAAAAGTAATAGAACTGTATGTTAAGAATAAAAACGTATATTACAGAAAAACTGGGCGTGCTTTACTTGCAAACATGATATGGAGTTCAATCCCGATAACTCAATCGAACTCTGTTTAATTTCTCTAACGGAATAAACAATAGAAATGTCAACGTTATTATTTTTGTTAGTGGTGTACTTAATATAAACCAGACATTGAAACTACCAAATTTTAATAAAACCGAAACAACTCATTTAAAATAGTCGGTGGTTTGGTATACTGCAATTTGTAGGGATTGCTTTTACCTCACGACGTGTTGCAAGATGTCGCCAATTTAACATTTAGTCACTGCTGAATCGTTTTTCGTTCACAAATTTCGTCAAAGAATGTTTGTAGCAAAAAATGTGTCCTGAAATTAAGTTTTATTTCCAATTACATTCTCCTATCAATTTTCTGGATTTACACAGCGTTGGTGTACGGTGGGTCCCTTTGCTTCTGGTAGCTTAGCAGACCGTTTAGGAGGACCACGGATCCGTGGTAGTTTAGCTTATGCAGTGCGTGGATGCAAAATAGCACCGCTTATTGGTTCGAACAAACACGTGTTGGAATACTGGCGAAAATACCCCAGTCCATATGCATATATACGAGAAATAAACCCTATTATTATGTGTTTGTTAGCAAACTGCTGTGGTGTGCTTCGTCGTGAGAAGCGACTGGAGAAAGTTTTTTCTGCCGGCAGTATCGAAAGCTGGCAGTTTGCCAGCAAACCCGTAATAGCGGGGTTTATTTTTAGTATATGTTTCGAATTATTCAGAACCAAATGCGTTAATATTAGAAAACACATTCTTTAATCTGTTTCCAGCAACTAACTGTTAAGGACTGCCGATTATCTGGCTAACTTTGTACGAAATTTTTTACTCAAGTAGTTATGAAAGGAGATATCGATCTGTTGCCTGTTAAGGACAGTCCTTTACCTACCGACACGTTTCAACTTTGCACAGCAATATCATTGTCAAAATTATAGTGCATAAGCGACATGATATTATAGAAAGAGAAATACGTGAAATACTTGTTTATTCAGTTTTAAATTTGAATTGTATAGAAATTTTGAACTAATAAGTTCGTGTTGGACAGGATTTACTATATATCATGTATACAGCTGTTGATTGCCTGATCCTTCTTAGTAATCATCGGGAATGATCACAGTCTAGTCTTAATTCCTACGTCTGTCTTGTACGATTAGTCGCCTCTAGCTTCCTTATCTCGATTTTGGTTCATTGTCACAGTTAAAGCTGAGGTCTTCAGGTTGGACTCTTGCAGCTCTTTGGGTATCACTCTATCGGTGTTGTAGTCCATGGGTCATCCGCCAGCCGTAGTCAGACTTGAGCTGCACGCAGTGGATAGGGGAACGTTTTTGTTATTGCTATTGCATCCAGTCTTGGTAATTAGTTCTGGTTACTGTCCACGTTTGCTACGCATCTTGGATAGAACGTCCATTTTTCCTTCACCCTCTTCGAGTTAGGTTTTTGTTGATGGTTCTGTGTGGCTTGGCCAGTTTAGAATTTTCTTCCCTAAGCTGACGCGCAGCCACCTCTGCTCCAGCAGATTTTCCTTCGTACAACTGAATGTCATTGTTTGCGGTGAAAAGATGCAGGCTATCCAGTGTGATGCAATGGTGTTGTATACAACCATTCGTAGGCTTCAATAATTTCACTTGGACTTTAGAACAGTTGTCTCGTTTGGTATATATGGTGATCAACTATGACTTTAAATGGCGTTCGCTTTGAAGACGCTGCAGCAAGTGATAGTTTCATTTGGTCTGTTCTAGTTTTCAGGTTTAAAATTGTTAAAATTATTTGTGAACCACTTAGAGTGTTGGCCTTGCCTAAAAATATTCATGCCTGGTACAAGAACCCGCCCATTCGGCCATGGTTTTTCTATCAGGGATGTAAATTTTTCATAGATGAGTCAGTGCTTCTTGTCACTTGGTTACACACATTTACCTAATTGCCATGAACTGCCGCAAATATATTCCGTAGATGACTTAAGCTGATTTTTTCAATAAAAAATGCCAAACCTGAAGTTGTCGACTAGGGCTCATGTGGACTATGACGGTTGACGCTGAACGGTTGTGAAATGCTCACCTCCAAGTAAATCTGCGTCCAGGTCTCCGCGTATAGATGTCACTATCAGAGGTTACCATTTTTAAAATCGTTCTGACACATTTAAATGCTCTATGTACCACCAGGGATCCGAAGAGGTGACATTTATGTTATGCCTGTCAAAGCTATCAAAGAAACTTTTTTTTAATAGACTTGGAATGTCGGTCAGTCAGATTTACTCAAGGGAACCCTGAAAAACGCAATAAGTTGCCAGAACTGGATATAGCAAATAAATTAATACAAAGCCACAAAACATGCAGTGGGAAAGTCATTCCTATCAGGCAGACCAGAATCTCCAGGTACGTTGAAAGTGGTAACAGGCAAATTCTTGCAAACCGAGGATATTCTTGTCGTCCATAGGATGTACCCAAATATCTAACATGAGAGCACGTTTGGCCGTTAAGCAGCATAAAAAATAGTTGCCTTCAGTTCGTCCATAATTAGTGAAGTTGACGCGGAATTTGTTGGAAATTATCCTGGAAAACGTGGGCTTTTGGCAGGTGTTCTTTTTGCAGAAGTTTGCCATCCGCCTCTTCTACAAGGTCTGGTATTCTATATACTTTCAGCCATTGAGCTATAATGGAAGAGTTCAGGAACGAAGCCATAGAAAATCCAAAGGTTGGTACGTTGGACTGTAACGGGATAAACACAACATCGACGACATTATGGCGTCACATTACGAATGGCGGGTGGCTGAGTTTTTCGTGATACTTCGCCACGGTACCAACCCTCCTCCTTATTCATTGAATTTTCAGACTTTTCGACGATAGAGTTATCGTATTATAGTAATTTTGGTGAACTGAAATTATTCTTTTGTTAAGTTTTGAAGCTTCTGCTAAGCGCATCACACTTGACTGACAGCTAAGCACGTGGTTATAAAAATATAACTTTAGGAGACCCGGATGTTGCGTATGCGCAGTTCTTAAAAATGCACAAGTGTTACGACGTGATGCCAAAAAATTCCAAGTTGGTCGTTCTGAATACGGCTTTGCCGGTAAGTAGTTTCCATGCGAACGACCGTTGGTCAATTATCTTTGTTCTTCATATAACGTTTTTAGGTAAAAAAGGCCCTCTACGCCCTTATCTATAGTGGTAATTTGTTATATATACTTTTTTTACGCAGTCGTAAAAATTTCACGCGCATGTTGTGTTTTTGCTCATAGGCGTGCGATCAGCGATGTTGTACGATGACTCGGACCGCAGTTTATGCGGTCATTTGACGATCAGTGATTTCATCAACATCTTGCTCAAGTATTATGATAGAAGTCCGGAGGAGTTGAGCACGTTGCTGTCCAACCAAGTGATCTCGCAGTGGAGGGGTACGCGTTTTTTAATGTGTAACATCGGGAAAGAACAAATTTTAATTCTTCAAATCATTTCCTTATCCTGTGTTTTTTGCAACTTTGCCAAACTTGTTCTGTTTATAGATTAAGAGCCACAACGTTAAAATTTTGTCATTAATGCTTTAGCTGCAAAAGGGAAAAAGTGAAGAAAAGTTTGCGACCGTTTGAATTTCAATCTTCTTTGCACTTTTATTGGAGCAGGAGGTTATTTGCTGCGTTCTCCTTGTACCGAGCTTCTGATTACAATGTGTCATCGTTTCAATGCCATCAGCTGCAAGTGTCCTATTTATGAGGTAACTGAATAGATTACCACTTGAAGGGAATCGCCCAAGAGTTCCATTTTTCAGCAAAAAGGAATAAAGAATAAAATGCCTTGGAATTATGTACATATCACAGATACAAAACAGAGAAAAGAACCTCGTTCAAGCACTTGAAACTAACGCAAAAGAATCTTGGGTTCTGAAGCAAAGATAAACATGAAGAGAAATATGTCACAGTGAGCAAATTCAAGTATTGTTGTTTAACGTATAATGCAGGATGTTGCCATATTGCACCACAGCTGTGTATACGTCTGTTTGCTACGTTGCGCAGAAGACCAGTGGCGGCAGTGTTATTGAAATGTTTAGCAGAAATCGTTGTTGCGATCCTGAAACGAATGGCAATAAATGAACCCTCCGATCGAGGGCTGATCACACAAGAGTACTATAGACACCATTTTACTAACAAGGAAGAAAAGTTTAACGCTAAAAGAACGGTTATACGTATGCTGCAATGAAAGAACTTTACATCAAATATGACAGTGAATACATTGAGCTGAACTGACAGGCTGGTTCTTCCAAAATCCGATGTACAGAACGGGATAGAGGAAAAACTGCAAAGCGAAAGAATGACCAAACGTTTTTGATAATCCGACCAATCCCAAGGTAAGGCACACTCAAGGCATTTTAGTCGATATAAGGTCGGGTTTCGAATCCCCACCAGATCACTTGCCTTTCATCCTTCTGACAGACAAATTCGCGTATAAGACCAAAAGTGTCACATGTAATGCATTGGCTTATGTCACCAACGCTGTTGTTGACTATCTCGACAAGCGGAGTCTTCGCACAAAGCATTTTGTTTGACTGTTCCATTGCCTTCAATAT